GGCTAAGGTCCAAGGTCCGCACAACCATGCAAGAAGACTAATGACAACAAATGCATCAAAGCAGGCTTCAGCATGGTTGTGACACGCCTGTTGACAATCGCCACTCTTGCAAATGTGTTTATAATGTTTATAGGCTGATTTTTGTCAATCTGGCCATGAGTCATAACCGTAATAGAGGTGAACTCGCATGCCGTCGCCGTCAGTCATTGAAGTCGCTATAGGCTATAGGTCTTAACATGCGAGTCCGTATATCCCCTCCAGCCACACAGCATGCGGCATTTCGTTGGGGGATTGGTCAGTTGAAACCCACCGAGCTTTTTAGCATTCCCAGACACTCCCGGAATTGGAATATTGAACTACATTGACTCATTGACCGCCCGTCCACCAATGGCGGTTGTGCCCCAGATCGGCCAAACCTTCCAGTTCGCAGGATCCGCAGCGTCTTCTCGAGCCCTCTGAGGTCCTACTGCGTCATTTGTGATTTGGTGCCTGAGGGCGAGGCTGTGGTCGTTCTGCGACAGGACCGGGCGCCGGGAAGAGAGCGAACGTCATGGCAAGACGTCATGGCAAGACGCATGGGTTTCTTTTGGAAGAAGCACCTGGAAAGGCGTTGAACCCAAGTGCAACCTGGGTTCCGGGACCCTCCTGTTTGGGGTGTTTGAGCCAACCACGCAGAGTCCACACCCAGACAGGATGCTCCTGGTTTGCTTTGAACAGAAAAAACCTTTAAGAGGTCACCCTCGGACTCTCCTAGCTTTTTGTGATCATGCATGGAAATGCATGGAAGTGTTTGATCAGTTGGAGTGGTTTCAAGATGTTTCAAAGTTTTAAGAGTCAATGGTCAATATTCCAGTCTGGTTTCTTGGGATGAAACACCCTGCGCAGGGTTTTCAGCCCCGGTCCAACGGATTTTGTTTTTCCCAAGCACGAGTCACGCGACCGGGGCGAGAGCTCCTGCAGCACGAGAGCTCCGAGTCACGCGCACAGCACTTGTTTTGGCTCAGATGGACCTGGGACCTTTTTTTTGACACGCCACTCTTGTGAGACTTGGTCAACATTCTTCACGCAAGCAGCATGCATCGATCTTCGAAAAAGGAGCGACCTTAGTGATGGAGTTGCCAGGACAAGACCACTGGCAACTGCGAATTCTGGCATGCCATCCAAGGTAAATGCCTCTTGGCATGAGCCAGGGGAAGCTCTGCCGGTTCGAAGACTTCAATGGCCGAGGGGTGCGTCGCTGAGCGGGTTTGGTGTCCGACTCTCGAGGAGAGGAGGGGACTTGAAGCAGAATCACTTGAGTTCAGAGATGTTCAGAGTCTCGTGGAGCTAGGCCAGGTGGGGCTTGCACCCCTGCAGATATGAATTCGGAATTCGGAATCCTTGAAATGTTACGTGGTGGGATGCGGTGGGTCGGGTCCTTTTTCATCCCGTTGTGAATTTCCACACCAGAATTGGATGTCTTAGGGCTGGCAATTTTTGACACAACCAAGATCACATCTTTCCAAATCATGATGTTTAGAAATCAGAGCAGGGGGGGTGCACCCCTGCATTTAGTAGTGGAAACGATACTTTTGGAACGAGAAAAAGCAAGGGTGCACCCCTGCATATTGTAGTGTTGGCAAGCTTGCAGCATCCTGAAAATGCATTTTGTTCGGATATGTTCTGATGTTTGTTTGTTTTTTCATTTTGTTTGAACATATCTTGGACCAATCGTTTTGTACTACTAATGACGGTGTCTCAAGATCGCCCATGAAATTTCGACAGGGATTCTTTTTCTGTGTTTGCCAACTTAGGACTTACCCTACCTCGATCACATCACATGGAAGTGCCATGGTCTTTGGCCTTTGGACCAATGGATTTCCATTTTCTACAGTAGGAGCCACTCAACTTCCGGTGAGCTGGGGGTGATCCCCATCTCGCAGGATCTGCGATTCAACCAGGAAAATCTGCACGTCATGAGCAGGCTTTTCCCTAGACTTCCGTTCGACCATTCAAAACAATGGTTGAACTGGTTTTTGTAGTGTAAAATCCTTAGTTGGTTCGGTAAAGCCTATTTAATTAATAGTGGTTGGACGTCTATATAGGGTTTTGGTTCCGGCACCGCACTCCCTGCCCTGCTGCTGTGCCGCCTCCGACCTCCTAGGTTTCTTCCTTCCAGCGAGCATGCAGCTGAGCCGCGGAGCTCAGCCAGTGACGTCGAGAGACGTCGTCCGGACGGAGCCCAGATCGACTTGGACCCATTTGTTGGGTGGAAAGAGGTGCCCAGGATCTAGGATCTACCAGTTTGAGGTGTGATGATCCGAAACATCATGTGCTTGTTGCATGCTTTTTGCTGTGTCTCTTGTGGGAGGATGCATGTTTTGAAAAAAAGCGCTGGGTGGGCGCCGGGCTGCCAGGCTTAAAACATCACCAGGGCCGGTCTGAACATCGCAGCTCGTTCCAGGGCGCCATGGTGGGCTGCCTTGGTGCGAACAGGGGCCATGGTCAACTCGATGCAAAAACCGTCCAATCTGGACGATCGTTAGGAGAAGTGCTGTCTCACGAGCTACAAGGTGTCCTTGAGTGTGTAAGTGCTTTATGATGCTTTATGGCTTTTGTATACTTTTGTGACTAAAGAGTGGCCCCTAACAATGGATCCTTAGGGGATCAAAGGACAGGGGATCATTCGAAGGTCATCGGAGGTTCCCAACGGCATAGCGGTAGCGCACCGTGGTGCTTGGTCCATGGTACCCCCAAAAGGAATGGTGGATTCGACAGTTCCCGTGGGCCACGTTTTCGGGTCACCCCCCCGCGTTGTTGTCACCGTTGCTCAGAATCATTCACTCCGACATTCACTCGGTTTCAGTGCGCGTGACTGTGGGCTCATCAGGATGAGAATGGACATGAATGGACCGTCAGACATACCTTTTGACCATCCGAGACCCCGCGAAGATGTGACTCGGTTCGCAACGGGTCGCAACGGGTCTTTGCGGGTGATGACCTGTGTCCACAGCGAACAACAAACCCCGACCAGAAATCAAGGAATCAGTGGCTGGCAAGACGCAATACATTTTGGTAGAGTACGGTAGAGGTCATTACTGGACAACATGCAAGATCATGTAAGCTGGACCTGAATGCCTTCCCTTCTCAAACGTTGCTGCAGATGGGGCCCCTTTAACAACTCATAGAGCTGGTTCAAAGGACCTCGAGATACCTCGGATGACATGAAGCTGGACACATTGCTGAAGATCAGTTCACCATCGGCGGCCCCCCCCCGTCGCTTGCAAGTCATGTATTCATGGCTAGCTGCTGGACCCGTGCATTGCCAAAGTGGCTTTACCCAAGTCGTGGCGAAATGTGGCGAGCGGGGGTGGGTGGAAGTGACTGGGGCTGGAAAAGACAGTGAGCAGGTGAAAGATACTATCTGAGGACAGACATTACATGACATTACCCTTTGATTCACTAAGATGGAAGTAGAAAACCAACAGGGATTAGGAAATCGCTACCCCCGACCCACCCACTTAATTCCGGGGATGAAAACCGCCAATTTACTTCTTTCAGCTGCATATGTTGGGAGAGAACCCATGCGACCCAGGTGAGTCAGAGGTCATGTTGTGCCAAGTATCAGACCCTGGAAGTGTTATTTCGCATGACTAGCTGGGTGACACAAAAAGCGCGTTGACATTCCAACATATTCCAATCTAACATGTCTCAGACACGACTAGTGGGACTGGAATATATGGCGCCTACATTCAACCACCCCAGTGATTCCCCAATGTAGGTAAATCTGGCGCTAGATTGGTCGTGGCTGGGTATTGTTGCGTGAGACGCACATGTCACGCCGTCTCACCTGTGCCGAGATGGATGTCAGGGCTGTTGAGTGGTGTATGTCCGGGAGGATTTTTGGGAAATGAAGAGCAACAGCCAACCAGCTGCAACAACCAAGTATATAATGTCAGCCTGAGCAACGATCTGAGTTTTTTTTTGTGTTTTTCCTCGGAGTTTGGATGATGTGGATTCCTGAAATCATCATGGTAATATGTGGATGGCACATGATGGCGGCACCTGTTTCCACCTGTTTGGCATTCGTATTTCGATGGTCATCCGAAATTGGGGTCATGCCGTGCCTGATTATTTCAGAGTTTGGCCATAGATTCCTGGTAGGATGGAACTGTTGTGTGCACCCTCCTCCAGCACCTACCCTCGAAGGGATGCATCAATCTTTTTCGTCACTCACTGCGCCACGATATACTCCGTAGCATGCATCTGGACCTTCAAGTGTCCAAGGGAGATCCCAAAGAAGTGTAGTAGGGGCTTCCATTGGTGACCCCTTTGAAGCTGCTGGTCGGCTCTTGATGAATAAAAGATCAGTTCCATGCCTCCCAGACATGGAACAGAATGACCAAAAAACTCTTCATGCCGGGGGGCTGATCATCTTTGATCAGTCAACAGTCTGCATGACACCGAGCACCGAGGAGCTTTGCCATGCCTCGCCCTTCGGACGCCGCCGACGCGCCGTCCGGCCCCGCGCCGCGTGCCGCGTGGCCGGGCACCGCGCGGTGCCGCCGTTCTCGCGGAGTCGGAGGAGGAGAAGGTGCCGCCTGGGGGTGCCACGCTGCTCGGCATGAGTGGAGGAACTTGGAAATTAGATTTCTAAGAGTATAATAGTCAAAGTGACGAGATGTATTGTTGAGACATGCATGTATGGAAACGGAATGAAATAGTCAGGTCCTCATGAGCATGTTCTTTTGAGGGTAGTATATTGCTGCATGGAGGCTAAACTTGGCCATCGCAGGCTGGCTGGGATTTCTCCAGATGACGTTTTTGTTTGTTTCGTTCACTGTGAAGGAACAAAAACGTGAATGCCGAGACATCGTCACCGCTGAAAACATGCCTATCGGCACATGAGTAGATCATCATATTCAGCATTCCTTCCATTCAGGCTTCCAACCTGCGTAAAAAGACCGAGGTTATGGACCCTGCTGACGGTCTCCTGCTTAAGTCTGCTGAGCTTTACAGCCATGTTTTCCATGACGCCCATTTTGATGCGCCGCTATAGCCACCTGGCGCAGGAGATGAACAGCGAGGAATAACCTCCGCGTGTTTTTTTGTGTGTGTGTGTGCCTTTGTCGGTGACACGCAGTTGGGGCGGCTGGGGGTTAAGCCCACTGAAGAATCGACCAAACGATACTATATCCAATCCATATATACCTCCAAACAAGTTCACCAAATCCACCACCTTTTGGAAGATAAATCCAGCATACCGGGTTCTTCCAAAAAAGCAGCCATCGATTTGTTGAACCCTTCTGACCTTCTTCACCCCCCAACTATCCCCAACTTGGTGTGACATGTCTCGATGCTGAGGCCTTTGGTTTGACTTGCGGAGATGTGCATGCCATCATTGAAGTTCGGGGGTTCAAGGGGGTTTGCTTGCCCCACTGGGACCTGTGATGGGATGGCAGTTTTTTTGAAGAAGTTTGTACCTCCAAAGAGGTCCACCAAATCCACCACTTTATTGACGATAAATCAACATATTCGTTCCAAAGAGATCGACCAAGTCCACCACCTTTTGAAGAAAACCGTGAACTCCACAAACCAGCACCTTCAGTTCGGGGTCACCTGGCTGGTTTCGCCCCAGCCCACCACTAAGGGACCTCCAGCCAGGACACCCCTTGAAGGTCCAGGCCATGTTTGGTCTAAGGCGTTCACTCCGCATCCCAAGGCGTTCACTCCGAGCTTGGCGTGGGCCTGGTGGCGTCTTCCTTTGCCTTGGGCCGTTTCTGCCGCTCGGAACGTTGGGCGAAAATGGGTGAAAACGACAGCGCGGCGCTGGGGAAGCCTGGAACTTAGGTAGGTTTGGAGTTTCGAGCTCTGATTCCTGATTAAAGAGACAACCCTACCAGTTGAAGGAGCGAAGTGAAGGACTGTTCCAGTACATCCCAGACACCCAGACACGACTAATGGGACTGCCATATATGCCGATCAGTTGGGGTGGTGCCAGGGGGGTCAATGTATATAGGCATATATGGCAGTCCCATTAGTCGTGTATGGGATATATCCCTATTGACCGGTGAACCGACCGAACCTTCGTTCTCCGCCCTTCCTTCGTTCTCCGCACCGCGCCGCGGCTCGACCGAACCTGCGCGGTTCGCGTTCTTCGCGAACACCGGGGACGTCCTCTCGGTGCGTTTTGTTGCGGAGCGACACTCGGTGCCGAGGGACGGAGGTTGCTGAACTCGGTGCCATGGACGTCCATTGCTGGCTCAAGTACCTTTTTCCAGGTGCATGGATGGCTGGAAATCCAGGCAGACATGGACCGGTAAAACCAACATGCAGCATCATGCAGCTCTTATATATGCAAGCAACTCGAGCATACAAGTTTGAAGAACATTGACATAAGTTTCCGCTGAACTGCTGCTTGGCTTGGAGTCACACCATTGGACCATTGCACATTAGCCATGGCCTTCAGGATTTCAGCACTGCAGGTGAATGGCGACCATTCTTGCTTTGATGTGACGCCTGAGCTGACAGGTAGAGAGCTAAAGCAGCAAATGAAAGAAGAGCAGCTTTGGGACGAGTTTACTTCCAGAACTACCAGTGTAGAGATTGTTGTTGGAGACCGTTTACTGGGAAGTGATGAAACAATCGCAGGTGCAGGGCTTGCTGCAGATACTGTTGTGAGTGTTGTCTTCAAGCCCAACAGAGTGAGATGCTCCAACCAATTAGTGCTCGCCAGCCTCAGAAGTGAAATTGACTCGGAACTGCTGCTGGTGGTTGACATCCCAGACGATGAAACACAAATTTCTGCGAGGGCCTTTCAACATTGCCAACAGTTGGCCGAATTGACTGTTCCAGACTCAGTGACACGCATTGGGGATGAAGCCTTTCGGGGTTGCACATCCTTGGTGAAAGTGAGCATCCCAAATTCTGTTACCCACATTGGCAGTGGGGCCTTTGCTCGTTGCACGTCTTTGACGAGCTTGACCATCCCAAACTCAGTGACCCACATTGGGGGTGGTGCCTTTGCGGATTGCAACTCCTTGGCGAGCTTGGCCATTCCAAACTCAGTGACCGACATTGGGGATTGTGCCTTTTGGGGTTGCGAATCTTTGACAAGCTTGACCATTCCAAACTCGGTGACCGACATTGGGAATCGTGCCTTTGAGAGATGCACCTCCTTGGCGAGCTTGGCCATTCCAAACTCAGTGACCTACATTAGGAGACATGCCTTTTGGGGTTGCAGATCTTTGACAAGCTTGACCATTCCAAACTCGGTGACCGACATTGGGGATCGTGCCTTTTGGTGTTGCATATCTTTGACACGCTTGACCATCCCAAACTCGGTGACCCACATTGGGGGTGATGCCTTTGTGGGTTGCGTCTCCTTGGTGAGCGTGACCATCCCGAACTCAGTGACCCGCATTGGGCATAGTGCGTTGAAGCATTGCAGGTCCTTGGAGAGCTTGACCATTCCAATCTCAGTGGTCTCTATTGGGGATCGTGCCTTTGAGAATTGCACCTCCTTGGCGAGCGTGACCATCCCGAACTCATTGACGGGCATTGGATTGTGCGCCTTTGCTCGTTGCACGTCTTTGACGAGGTTGACCATCCCAAACTCAGTGACCCACATTGGGGGTGGTGCCTTTGAAGATTGCGTCTCCTTGGTGAGCGTGACCATCCCGAACTCAGTGACCCACATTGGGTTGGGAGCCTTTCGGAATTGCAGGTCCTTGGAGAGCCTGGCCATCCCAAACTCATTGACGGGCATTGGATCATGCGCCTTTGAAAGGTGCACCTCTTTGGCGAGCTTGACCATCCCGGACTCAGTGACCAACATTGAGGACAATACCTTTGAAGATTGCGTCTCCTTGGTGAGGGTGACCATCCCGAACTCAGTGACCCGCATTGGGCATAGTGCGTTGAAGAATTGCAACTCCTTGGCGAGCTTGACCATTCCAAACTCAGTGGTCTCTATTGGGGATCGTGCCTTTGAGAATTGCAACTCCTTGGCGAGCCTGACCATTCCAAACTCAGTGGCCCACATCGGGGATCGTGCCTTTGAGAATTGCAACTCCTTGGCGAGCTTGGCCATTCCAAACTCAGTGACCTACATTAGGAAACATGCCTTTTGGGGTTGCAAATCTTTGACACGCTTGACCATTCCAAACTCGGTGACCGACATTGGGGATCGTGCCTTTTGGTCTTGCAAGTCTTTGACAAGCTTGACCATCCCAAACTCGGTGACCCACATTGACGATTTTGCCTTTGAGAATTGCAGCTCTTTGGCGAGCCTGACAATCCCGAGCTCAGTGACCCATATTGGCAAATGGGCCTTTATGGATTGCAGCTCCTTGACGAGCTTGACCCTCCCGGAGTCGGTGCATGTGGATGGTGATTGTGATGCGTTCGCGCGGAGCTCGGCAAAACGCCGGAGATTGTTCGCTGATCCATAGCAAGAATTGGATGAAGTGTTTGCCTTCGCTGTCCGAAGCACTGGATGTATTGAGAGTAGAAAAGGGGACCACAGCCAAGAAAGATCAAGAAAGGCTTGCGGCTTGCGGGTGACTTATGGTATTGGTGTGCGCGCGTGCGTGGGTGTGTGTGTGTGTGTCCCACCCTGGACAAAGGGTCTCACCCCACCACTTTCACACAGGCAGGGGGGCAGTGATCCCTTCAGCAGCCACTGCCTAACAAAGACGCTGCTGATCGGATGTGATATTCGGAGAGGACGCTCTCCGAACGTACCTGCCGAGTTTTCCACACGCTGTCACCCTACTCTTCCACTTTTTGATTCATGGTCCTTCATGTTTCCACCCCATAAACATTCGCCCCCAGCAGCTGAGCAGCCAGTTCGCTTTTCCGCCGCTTGCGAGTGCCAACATTGTTCAACAATACTGTTTCAGCTGACCTTTCCACCTTGCTGTTCCATCGCCTTCCTTCCCAACGTGGCAATTGCATTAACTGAAAATCCAAGTTCGAAGTGTGTCCTGCTCAGCCGTCCCACTCGGGTGCTGAGTGTGATCCCCTTCACAGGGGCGCTGTTTTTGCATGGGAAAGCAACCACCCCAACGCTCCACCGATCACTGGAACATCACAGGAAGGCACCGACACCCTCACAGAATCAACCGCCACACCGGCCGCCGGGCCAAAAAACGGTTCTTGAAGAATCCTTCAGATTCCGAACTTCTGATCTCAGATTTCAGCATTCAGTTTTCTTTTCATGTTTTCCAATCATGTGCGTGTTTCCCTGTTCGCTATGTTGCTGCCGCGATTCTTTCATTGACAGAACTCAAGGATGAGCATTACGACTCTTCAGCTTAATTCGAGATGCATGAACACACACCTACTAACAAACTTACATTTAACACCACCTTACAACATACTCACCACTGACACCAGAGATGACACATTCAACAACAATGACCAACCACAAGACAATACAACTCGGCATTTCTCCGCTGCTTTTTGCTGCCGCACCGCGCCGCGCCATAGCTACGACCACGACATGCAGTTTCCGTGGCCCTACGCTCACACCACGCCACCACCATTACCTACCACACAACCTCAACCCACATGGCCGATGCCACAAACATCAACTGCACCCACTTTTCCCTCGACACAACCATCGGCATACCCTCACCCACAACCACAACCTTTTCAACCACCACCGTTGTTGCCCACCCCTACCGCCACTGCACTGACTTACGGCACACCATCCACTTGGACTTTTGTCCACCCATGTCATGTGCCACCGCAACCCACAAATCCAACTCCGGTGTTTCCGACAGCAGCACCTCCCCCGTCCTACCTGTTGCCACCACCTCAACCCACGCCGCCGGCTGAACTTCCTCCCCCCACTACACTGACACATCCCCCTCCAACACAGCAACAGCCTGCGCCTGCCAATTATCCATCCACAGACCCCCAATGCGCCATCCCCCAGGGCGTTTGGCAACCCTACTCAGCCTTTCCCCCTGTCACACAGCCTTCACTCCAACCGGGGCCCCCGCCACCGCCTCCACAAATTACCAATGCCTCAACGCCAACCCAACCTCCATTTCAACAGCAGCTACCATCGGATCCAACACCACCGATCCAACCCATCCCCACGACTGCCCAGGACAATCCACTACCAGTCCAAAACACACCTCCACCAGCCACCGTATCCCAACATTCAGCATCCCTCTCGCTGGTATCTGCCACACCAGCACCTGGAACTTCACTACCAGCACCAGACAAACCTGACACCACTGCCTCACCAGCACCGCAACCACCTTCCCCGCCACCACCACACAGCAGTCGCCGTCACCGCCACAAGAGCCGACGCAAGTCCGACCATCACCACAGAGGACGCCACCGCCACCGCCGCCGACATCGCCATCACCGCCACTCCAAACACCACAGCACAACCCGGCGACGGCGGTCGCCTTCAACATCCACCTACACATCTAGCCTCACACCATCCCGCAGTCGGTCACCACCACAACCCATTGATCTACGCCCAAACACCGAACACACCAACCCTGACCCCTCACAATATCCCACCACAGCCGTCATTCGTCGCCCAATCAACCGTTGGCGACCTCCACCCAACTTTCACACCTTCACACCTGCAGACCAAATCCTGGAATGGCTCGAATTCCACGCCACCCAACTCGACAACCCCAACCGACCACACCACCAGTACATTGCCAATATCCTCACAGACTGCAACATCACCTACAAGGAGATCACCGATTTCCGACAATATACCCACGCTAAGTGGAATGACACAACTCACCAATACGACCAATTCCAGTACTATGCCATTTCACTTCCCTTCCTCAACACCAAAGCCACTACACCAGAGC